AAAAATTTATAACAACTAGAAAAAAACATTCTTGCAAAGAAGTTTCAGAAGAATTATTACTAAGAAGAGGCGAGCGTCATAGCTAAGAGGTTTGATTAAATACCTAAGTTTGTTCATCTGAAACTCTTCGGTCTATCAAGTTAAACAATTTATTTATTTTTTATTTCTTTAAATATATTTTTAACCATGCCTCTTTATTTAAAATATTCGAGGCAGCTTACAAATATATATATATATATTAAAAAAGTAAAATAAAAGACCCTAAGGTGGGGAGCATAAACCCTACTAAGACATACCGAGAGAAGGGACACACACACACAAACTCAAGCACCAATAAAAGCACAGGTAAAAAGGGTGGACTCAGCCTGGCGATGAAACAGTGCCAGCACTGGTAGCACGCGAACAGCCTGGGAGAGGGAGTTCCATAGCCTGGGAAAAAGCTGAGAAGACCCTGCTCCCTGTAGATGTCAGCCTTATCTCCGTAAGTGAAGGAACACAGAGCCAAATATCTCCAGCTGACCTTAATCCTCGGGCAGGTTCATATGGGAGGAGACAGTCCTTCAAGTACCCCTGTTCCAACCTGTTTAGGGCTTTATAGGTCATAACCTAGACCTTAATTTGAAGGTCAGAAACATATCGGAAGCCAGTGCAGCTGCCGGAGCACCGGCATAATGTGCTCTGTATAGAGACTGTTGATTAGAACTTGAGCAGCTGCAGTCTGGACCAATTAAGATTTCCAAGACTCTCTGAAGGCAGTCCACGAAGAGCACACTGCAGTAGTCCAATGGGGATGTGACAAGAGCATCAATCACCATGGCCAGGTCATTCTTACTCCGGAAGGGCCACAGCTGGCGGATCAGCCAAATCTGCCCAAAAGCAGACCACCTTGGATTTTTCAATTCTAGAAAAGGGTCCAGGAGGACTCCCAAACTGCACACCTGTTCCTTCAGGAAGAGTGCAACCCTGTCCAGAACAGCTAACACATCACATTCCTGGTCAGATGGCTTCCTGATCCACAGGACCTTGGTCTTATCTGGATTCAGCTTCAGCTTATTCAACCTCATCTAGTCCATCACCACCTCCAGACCGGTTTAGATTGGTCACTGCCACACCTGGATCCGGGGTCACAGAAAAATAGAGTTGGGTGTCATCTATGGATGGCACCGTCCTCCACATCTCCTTATGACCTCTCTCAGCGGTTTCATTTGCCATGGGGTCAAGCAGCAGCCCCCTAGCTCCACCTTCTGAAAATGTCCCAACAAGTAAGACCAGAACCACCGCAAGACAGTGCCTCCGATTCCCAATGTCACCAGGCACTCCAAAAGGATACCATGGTCGATGGTATCAAAATCTGCAAGAAGTCCAAGAGAATCAACAGGGACACATTCCCCCTCTCTATCTGTCAGCATAGGTCATCTACCAGGACAACCAAAACCAAGCCTGAAGCCAGACTGAAATGGATCCAGATCATCCGTTTCTTCCAAGAAAGCTTCAAGTTGCAACGCCACCGCCCTCTTGAGTACCTTGCCCAAAACGGGAAAATGAGTGAATGGGCATTAGTTATTCAAATGGCGTGGATCCAGGGAAGACTTCTTAAGGAATAGTTTTACCACCACCTCTTACAAGGCAGCGGGAACTGTCCCAGACCCAAAAGACACATTAATAATCCCTGGGCACAACCAATCATCCCTTCCTGGCTTGATTTAATAAGCCATAAAGGGCAAGGGGTGAGCAAGCACATGGTCAGTCGCACTCCTCCAGGCATCTAATCCGCATCCTTGGTCTGCAAAAGCTGAAACTGATCCAAAGAAAAATGATTAGGCAGTACGCTCAATGCATTCTGTACTCTGCTTACATGACAGCCGGAGTCTGAGTCAGACCGGATGCAAGCAATCTGATCTGTAAAATGCTTCATAAACAAGTCAAGTGGATTGCCGAGTGCTCCTCCATCTCATCACGAGGGCCAAACTGTATGAGGTCCTGCACCATTTGAAACAATTCTGCCAGAGGGCACTGTGGAGATGTAATGCAGGCAGAGAAGGAACTTTTTTTCGCCATCAGCACCGCTACAGAATAGGCTCACAATTCAGCTCTAACTTGCAACTGACTGGACTCGGCTCGAGTTCTCCTTCAGCAGTGCTCTAATCGTCACACGCACCGTTTCATCGCCTGCAACTCCCCAGAAAACCCGGAAGCAAGCTTGGCTCAACTGGCCTGAAAAGGGCGCTTAGGAGCAATCATATCAACTACCCAGACTACCTCAATGTTCCATATATCGACAAGGGCATCCACAAGACCACTAGCCATGCCGAACCCGTTTTTAGGTCCGGGGCCGCTGACCCTCAGAAAAATCAGTGTGCTGCACACAAGTGAAAAGCAAAGCAAAGCAAAGCAAAGCAAAGCAAACCAACCCCCCCCCCCCCCAAACACAGAGAGACACTCCCCACATTCCCCTTACACACCAGAGTCTCGGGGGCCACAGGCCAGTAGATTTTGTGTGCTCCAGCCCCATGGTGGGGTGGTGGGAAGGCTGGAGCCCCAGCCTGGGCTCCCCAATGCTGGGGGGGAACCCTGAGCCTCGGGGGCTGGACCCAGGCAAGCTGGGGGGGAGGCCGCATCTGGCCCCCGGGCTTTAGGTTTCCCACTTCTGCCTTATGCCTATTTTGGGCCAGACTGTCCAGTAGTATAAGTGGTGTAGCCTAAATGAAGCCAATGGAGTTACATGTGTTTATACAAGCTGAAGTTCTAGCCTCCAGAATAGGAAGAATGGTTCTCATAGTTTCATTACTTCTGCTTTGGTTTTGAATGTGAAGAGATAAGTGGGGTGTGTGGGGGGGGAAGCCATCTACAATTTCAACTCTTAAGAAAAGTTTGGCCAAATTTTGGGTTCATCTTTGGGTCAATTCTTATGTTACTGCAACTGCTTCTTTCCACATACAGCATTTTTATTGCAAAATGTCTAGAAAAGTTTGTAATGTAATTTAAATAAAAAGTGACACATTATTCATAGAATTAATGCAACAGCAGTTACAGTAACAAATCTGAAACCAATATGCCTGTTTCTTCCACTTATGCAACCTAATGAACCACACACTACCAGTGGAACATGGTACTATGCCTCTGGATAGCCTGTCCCATCTAAATAGAAGTTGTTAATACCCATAAGGCATTGGTCAGGTATAATTTTTTCTCTCATTAGCTAAATTCAGTTTGACATACGTGAAAAAAAAACAAGTATTGCCAATTAAACAAACTCCGCATAGGAGGAGAAATAGTTCTAATAGCTGAAAGCATCTGGAAAAATAACTGTAAAGAAAAATGAAATGGATAGGGAGCTATTACCCTAACCAAAAAAAAGAGGGGGGGGGGTTAGTTGTTCCGACATAGATCTCTTTTATATACTCATCATGTCAAAACACTGACCTTCCTAAATAGGGACTAAAATCACTTAGGGCACATCTGTGCTAGGGATGTTAATACCCTAGAGATAGTTACTTTAAATCAACAAATAGTCCTATCATCTGAAGAAGTGACCAACACTCTGGTCATCTGAAGAAGTAGGTTGTGCCCACGAAAGCTCATGATACCATCTACATGTTTTGTTAGTCTTTAAAGAGCTACCAGACAATTTGTTGTTTTTTTAAATTTATCCTGTCCAGACTAACTTGGCTACCCCTCTGAAACTTTCAATCAAGTGAGGGATGTGGGACAAGACATTAAGGGTATGTCTACACTACCACCCTAGTTTGAACTAGGGTGGTAATGTAGGCAACCGGAGTTGCAAATGAAGCCCGGGATTTGAATTTCCCGGGCTTCATTTGCATAAAGCGCATTCAGATATTAGTGTGCTATCTCTGTCTCCTGAGGTGTTGAAAATCAAGCCCTAATGTTAATGATTCAGTAGTGTCTTCACTTTTTCAAAAGAGTCCACCTCTGTATTCTCTGTATTTTTCAGTCCCCTGCCCCCATCCATCTTATGGCTTGCATACTTAAAACTGAGACCTTTCAAATAGGTCTTAAAGGCTCTTAGGGTATGTCTACACTACCACCCTAGTTCGAACTAGGGTGGTAGTGTAGACATACCCTAAGAGCCTTTAAGACCTATTTGAAAGGTCTCAGTTTTAAGTATGCAAGCCATAAGATGGATGGGGGCAGGGGACTGAAAAATACAGAGAATACAGAGGTGGACTCTTTTGAAAAAGTGAAGACACTACTGAATCATTAACATTAGGGCTTGATTTTCAACACCTCAGGAGACAGAGATAGCACACTAATATCTGAATGCTGAATTTGAACACCCCATTGCTAGGTTTGCATGAGCAAATAGCCAGTTGAATGCCTAATTGGCCTTGTGTATACACAACTGTAGTATCAGCTAGGGATGTTAGAGTGTAACAAATCGACCGTTTGACTGATAACCTGCTGCTTATTGGTTAATGGTCCGTAACACACTCAGTGGCTCCTGGGGAGGTTGCTTCACTGCACCAAGACAATGAAGCTTCTCCACCACCACCACTCGGGGGGCAAAAACTACTGGCCACGCTCCTGGGGAGGCTTCGCTGTGGGCTCTGCAGTGTTATTAAAGCTTTATACTGCAGAGCCCGTAGCATGTCACTGTTGAGATTTTCAGCAGTCACACAATTACCTATGTAACCAACTTTTAACATTCCTAATGTCAACCCACTACATACAGCCCTAGTTATTTGACCTTTAGAAAGTCAAGCCCTAAACATACTTGGTAGTCTCAGAGTGCTTCGACACTAGCCACTAATCAATTAAATATTACATTAAAACATTCAGGCTACTTTTTTTGCTCAACACAGATTAATAGCTATAGATACCATCTTGGTGAAGCTTAAAGAGGTAAATAAAAGCTAAAATGGTAATAAAGAATACTCTAGAACAGCACAGTTAGTCCTAGTGAAGAAATAGGTTGAACATTTATCCTCTGATTCCTGAGCTTTATTTCCAGTCCCAAGCTGAAGAACTGTAAAGCTTACCTCCTAACACACACTGGAAACCATCCCCACGGTATCCTGCATTACACTGGCAACTGAAGGACCCAGGAGTATTGTAGCAGAAAGCATTTGGGTGACAACGGCTCTGTTGACATTCATCTACATCTGTAAAACAGAAAATCAGGAGAGAAAATTTCTCATGATACAGAATAGCTTACAGATCACAGTTAAGTTGTTTGTTTTGCTTTGGATTCTTTTAAGATGGCAAAGTGGCTTAGGAGCAGAAGTCTCATTTTTTAAAAGTGGCTAACACCCAGGAGCCTAAATTCCTCTGACTTTCAATAGAACTTTAGTTCCTAGGCCACTTTGGTGCTTTTGAAAGTTTTACCTTCATATATAGGTTAGATCAGGGCTACTCAACACACAACCCATGGGCCACATGCAGCCCGCAGCCCATAGCGCATTTGTTTGAGGCCCATGGTGCGGTTTGAGTTTATGTGGGGCTCAACACACGGCCCGCGGATGGCATTCTTTGAACATGGCCTACACTGGCAACACGTTTCAGATGGGCTGGCTGGAACAGACAGGTACAGGGTGTCAGCGTTTCTAGCCCCCAGCGAGGAGGTGCCGGGAGTACTGTGTGAAAGAAGCTATTTGCATATATATTTGCATGTGTATGCAACCACACTTAAGTTGCGGCCCTTGGCTTGTGTTGTATCATCGTGGCCCCCGGGGCTTCCAAAGTTGAGTAGCCCTGGGTTCGATTTTTATTAATACAGAGGTAAAATATTCAAAATGTATACAGAAAATTCGAAGAAAAAACACTGTTGAGTTTACTGATAGTTACCTAACCAATTTCCCGTCCCCCAAAATTCTGGATTTCTGAAGCAACAGATCTATAGATTAATGGCTGGCAAGGGTTCCAATGAATACAAATATGGGAAGCTGCCACTTCAATGTTGTCCAATCAGTGTTAAAAAAAGTATGTTACTGCAAGTTGAACCTCCATGGTCTGGCACCCTGAAGAACTGACTGGTCCTGAACTAGGGAATTTGCCGGATAAGAGGAGGTCAAATGCCGTGGCACCCCTGCTCCCAACCACTGGCCCCCAGGCTCCCCTCCCCAAGGGTGCCAAGGCTCTGCTCCCTAAAAGTCCTAGGGCTCTGCTCTGCTGGCTGCCTGGGGCTCCGCTGCAGTCCACAGGGCAGCAGGGCTCCTGGCTGCTGGCCCCCTGCTGCCCAGCTCTTCCCTGATCCCACAACACACCTAGCTCCAGCACACTGGTTTTCCCCTGTGAATGCTCCAACCCGGGAGCACACACTGGGTCACCGATGATGCCAAAACAGGGAAGTCCAGATTAGGGAGGTTCAACCTGTATTACAAATGCGGTGTAACAGGCGTGGTGGGCCACATCCACAACTGGTATGAACTGGCATTGCTTTGCACCAATTTACCCCATCTGAGGAGCTGAGCTGTTTTGTTTAGGTGACCATAAACTAATAAATGTTTAATGTTATTGCAACTCTCACTGACGAGCAAAGCTACTTATCAACCATGCGTGTAATGAATGTCTCTTGAACATCCTGAGTTACAAATATTGAAGAGTGACTGTGACGGGGTGAGGCAACCCCGTCACCCCCCGCTAGCGGCGGACAGGGTGGGGGAGCAGAAAAGCGGCGCGGTGGACTCAGCCGCGCTGAGCGCGCAACCGCCCGGCGTTACGCCGCGGCACGGACAGACGCCTGACGAGGGCGCCTACGTCACTGGCGCGCTGGGGGCGGCCGCTGACGTCACGGCCGCGCTGGGGCGTGGCAGTGAGGAGGGCGCCCCGGAAACGGGGCATAAAAGGGAGACCAGGGAAGACATGGGGGGGGGGCCCGGAGCAGGGAGACGGGCGACCGGAGGAGACTGGGGGGGGGCAACCTGCGCACGGCGGAGGAACATGGGCAGACAGGAGGGGTGAAGGAAGTGCACGCCGAGGGTGCGGCGCGGAGGGAAGGTACGGGAGGGGCCGAGCCCGGCCCGTAAAGGGGGAGGGGCGGAGTGTCTTGGGCCCAGGGTGGGCTGTGGAACCCGTGAGCAGGCGAGTTTGGGGGCACATACCCCGTCTGTTTCCGCAGAGCGTGATACGCTCAGCGTTAGGGCCCTGGGTCGGGGTCCGGAGAGAGGGTGGGCCCGGACCCCCACTCCACCCCGGGCATATGGGGCAAACACATCGGTTGCCAACGTGGGCGACTCATGACAGTGACTTTAAAAAGTAAAGTGAGGGGGTAATAATGGTTGACTGTATATATTTCAGGTAACTTATCAAGACACTTTCTATTTGAAAATCAGAAATAAATGGTTTAAAATCAAACCAAGGCAGAAACCAACTGACTTATTAGCATATATAATAATCACCAAAACTATACTAAACCAATAAATGGTGTTACACACCTACACAGGAGTGTCCATCTCCAGAGAAGCCATCTAGACATGCGCAGATGTAAGAAGAGCCACCCGCATACACACATCGGGCACGCTGAGGAATATCACAGTTGTGTGTGCCCATTACGCAATGGTCAATAGCATGTTCGACAGCTATAAGTTTAGACAAACACAAAGTTAAAAATGAGATTTTACACATTTAAATTGCCCTCTACTTAATTTGTCGTTAGAGATACATTTCAGAGAAAGAAAAGCATTTTTTTTTAAAGTATACATTAGAAAGGAACTTTTGGTTTTATGTATCTGTCTGTACTTACTATGTACCTAACAGGACAAAGCCATTTTACTCAGCACCTTGTACATTTGGGCCAAAAATGCACAAATGCTAGCCTCCAAGATATTTTTCCTTTTTACAATCAAGTAGTGGATGAGAAAATGTCAGGAAAACAACCTTGTGCAGCCTATCAACAATGTTGGCTGAACTATCAGTGGAATATACTGGGAATAATTCACAATCCCACTACACTAACCCACAAATGACCCAGGATTGTTGTCACTTGGCAAGAGATGCGAGCTGTGATTCAGTAGGAGCCAAATACATTTGTAGATTAATAGGGAGAAGTTTTGGCTAACTACAGCAGTGATCACACAACCTACTTACAGCTGTGTCTGCTATCACATTTCCTGAAGAGAAACAACAGCTATTCTGTGACCAACACTACTTCTATCTTTCCAGAATTCCCCACTCCTACTTGTTATGTCTAAGAGAAGAGGAAGAGGCAAAAAAAACAAACAACAACAAAATTAAAAATAAATTTTGAATGGGGTGGCATATTTTCCCTTTAAAACCATTCAATATTTACAAGACTGTCCCAAAAGAGAGTCATACATTTTTAACCAAGTTGCATGATTTTTTTTCAAACTTCTGAAGTTTGTAATTTTCTCCAGGCAAAGGCATTCAACCCCTAAAAAGATCTATCTAACATCAAACAGGATGAAAATTCCAAAAGGGAAATTAATCTGTGTACAAAGAAATCCAGTTTAAATATGCATTCTGTACAACACCCTCAGACTAAGCCAGCTACCATAAAAGTTCAACTTCTGTAAATGGAAATACCTAGAAGGAAGAAAGGGGAAAAACTGTGTGAGCCTGTACTTGCCCAGAGTAGTAAATGCCTGACTATATATTCTTAAATTTAAGTTTCCACCAAGCAGATGTTGAAACAACCAAATATGTAAGAAAGGAAATATTTAATAAAAAGTTACTTAGCAGAGCCAATAAAATTACTTATTTAAAGCTGTCACAGGCTATCAGACATTACACTGCTGACACTAAAATCTTCTCAAAACTCTTGAGGCTTAGTTTTCTTTTTAAGCAGGATTTAGCAGGGTCCCCCATCCCGTCCAACACTCTGCAGTTACAATTCCTTTTTAGCAAGTTTCAGTGGGAACTTCAAGATTCCTAACCTACGTGGAACACTGGTCCACAAAAGCATTAGTAGGACTTGCTCTAAATAGCACATTACACTGTCCAAATGATAAATCTGAGAGTTACACAGAACGACATGCTGATGACAGACCCTTATCTGGACTAAAACAGGAGAGCAAAACATGCTGAATTCTTCCTCTTCCCACTTGCAGATCCTTTTTAGGAAGGAAAGATGTGCCAAAATAGTCTTTTCTAGTCCTAACATAGTAGGAATTTCCAACAGTGTTGAAATATATAGTTCCATAAAAAACATAATACAAGGATAGGAAGGTGGGCCTCTTGAACATTGGTATTTGGGACCTACCCATTATTCCACTCTCCTCATACGGATCTGCAGCCCAGGAGCAGCAGAAGGTTGATAAAAAGGGGGGAGGTGCCAATGGTGCCTGAAGCATCCCTCCCCACATACTACCCCTTCCTTCTCCAGGCTGTGGCACTGCGTCTTCCCCCCGCTTCACCCAATACCCCATCACACACTCACTTCTCTCCTCCCCCGCAATCACTTGTTCTTTCAACTGGTAAAAAGTGGTAGGGGCTATGTGCCCCTAAGCCTACTCCAGTCCCCCGGCTGCAGCCAGCTCATTTCAGGACCCCAGTCCAGCTCTCAGAAACAGAGCAAACAGAAACCTTGCAGTCATAAACCACATTCTGGGATATAGTAACAGGATTGTAATTAGCAAGACACAAGTAGTAATTCTTCTGCTCTACTCTGCACCGATTAGGCACCGATTAGGCCTCAACCCGAGAACTGTGTCTAGTTCTGTGTGCCACATTTCAGGTACGATGTGGACAAACTGGAGAAGGTCCAGAGAAGAGCAACAAAAATGATTAAAGGTCTAGAAAACATGATCTATGAGAGAAGATTGAAAGAACTGAGATTGCTTATCTGGAGAAAGAGAAGGGGGACATGATAATAGCTTTCAAGTACCTAAAAGATTGTTACAAGGAGGGAGAAAAATGGACATAATTTATTCTACACTCTCCTTCCCTGCTACCCAGTGGACCTACATTTTCCTTCGTCTTTCTCTTTCTGATGTATAAGGCTCTATATGCCTCTTTTAATTGCCTTTTATGTACCATGCTAGATACAATTCATTTAGGGACGCAGTGTCAAACTCTCGGTTTGCAGGACATCTCTGGCCGGAGCATTTTTTGCAATCTGGTCTGGTGTATTAGGAGGTACCCAATCCTGTTCTCCAAACCCCACTTCTTCCTACCATTATCCCCCCCCCTTCATGATTTGCACCCCATTCCCCAAGAGGCACTGCTTTTGGCTTACTGGAGGGGCCTGGAGCAGGGTGGCAACAGTGGTAGCCCCCCCCACACATTCCCTGCTGGGAGACAGAGAGCAATGGGGGGAAGAGGGCGGGATGATGGCAGGAAGGGGCAAGTTTTGTGGGCACAGGTTCGGTTCATGCCTCCCACCCCCCACCACCAGGGCTGGATTTGTGAAAATGCTCTGTCTGGAGATGGCTGATGGGCTGTGAGTTCGAGGCCCCTGATTTAGGGCTTTAGTCTTTCAGATTTTGTCCCTACATGTTTGTGTTACTCTTTTGTACTAATCCATAAAATAATTTCTCCGTTTCCATTTTTTTGGGTAAAATTATCTTTAACTTTCAAGTCAATTAAGAGATCGTAATGCAGCCATATTGGTCTCTTAATATTCTTTTTTCTTTGCAGTGGGATAGTTGAAGCTGTGCCTTTAATATGGTCTTTTTGAGAAACGGTCTCTCTCCTGAATTCCTTCCTTTTTTTTTCTTGGAAGGAAAAATCTATGGAAACTTATTTACTAGTTCGAATTTATTAAAAGTCTGCATTAGACTTCAAAAAAAGCAATCTAATCCAATCCATGGAGTAGGAAGGTGATTTTACTTCTGCATACAGTATTTGTCAGTCTGATACTGGAATATTGCATAAAATTATGCGGTCCATATTTTAAAGAGCATGTTGAATAATTGTATGTCTCTTTCTTACAACCTTTCCCTTTTTTAAAGGGCCGCTAGATAAAATGCCTTACAAAGCTCAAACTGCTTTGCTTATCAAAAAGATTATTAGGAGTGGCTTAATTACAGTGTACCTAAACAGGGAAAAAGCAGTGGATACTAAAAGGCTCTTTGAACTGTGAAAGCAGGACACACCCACAACATTATAAGAATTCTTTGAAAGTTACTTTTAAGTGAGTTGCCCAAAATAACAGGAAGCCGGTGGCAGCGCCAGAAACAGAACCAGGAAACTTGACTCCCAAGTCTGTGCTCTATGTAATGGTTCACATTACCCAAAACATGCTAGTACACAATTCAAGAAAATCTGGAACTAAAAAAAAAATACAGGACTATGTAGCACTTTAAAGACTAACAAGATGGTTTATTAGAACTTACCTACACAAGTCCGTCCATCAGGTGAAAACTGATAGCCATCAACACACTCACATCGGAAAGTTCCTGGATGGTTATTACAGACTGCATTGCCGCCACACACTGTGGGTTGCTCTCTGCACTCATCAACATCTACAGAGTGTTATAAAGAGTCCAGTTATTACAAAAAGTAGTAACAATGTAGATCCTGGAAAGAAGGGCATCCCACAACTACGGATTAATAAATGGCCCCCATCAGTGATATTGCTATCGTATAATAAAACACATCTAAAAAACAAATCCATACACATATTATGTTGTTATTCTTTAACATTTAAGAGATATTCAGGAACTTCCCACACATCAATAAAAGTTCCTTTCCTAAGCAGAGACGATGGCACAAAGCTATAGCGGTAAAGTTTATCACTAATTTACAATTGGATTCAACCAACAATTCCTGATGTAAATTTTAAGTTAAATATTTTTAAAATGATATATGCTGTAGTTCATATATGTGCTATGTACAGCAGGAGCATCACAAGTTATGCTAGAGGCTTTTTACTTGTGGAAGACTTGCATAATAAATTTACTGCATGAAAATGTCAAAAAAAGCACACATTTAGAAAATAAAATGGAGTAATATTGTATTAAAATGTGTCATATAGCAGCTACCAACTACAGTTTAAACTAAATTTAACATGCAGAGGACCTGTACAGATGTGATATTGAGCCATAACATGTAACTGTACGTCATGCATTCTCGGCTTTGTATGATCAGGTTTTATAGATCGCCAGCCAGGAGGTGCTAGTCTAGGCATCTGTGGAATTTTTAATGTGACAACCATATGTAGGAGGGACTAAATTATGAGTCAAACAAAACACAGTATCACAGTTTAGCTTTGTGTGCCTAATAACACACAATAAGTTACAATAAGTTATCCAGTATAAAATAGTTATTACTCTGTAAGTGATACATTAAGCTGCAGAGTCTTGTGAAATACTTAAGATGTGACATTTTAGACAACAGAAATGTAACACAACTGACAAGAACAGATTTCTTTTTAGAGTCCTCTAACAATACGCAGACTACAGGCAGTCCCCAGGTTACGTACAAAATAGGGACTGTAGATTTGTTCTTAAGTTGAATTTGTATGTAAGTCGGAACTGGCGTCCAGATTCAGCCGCTGCTGAAACTGACCAGCGGCTGAC